ATTCATTCTCACACAACGGTTCATCACAATGGAGTGTTCATTCCAAGCTAGCGAGACGACAACATAGGGTTCATTTGGAATCCACGTAGTGTTCATTCTAAGACATAGTAGGGTTGATTTTCACACATTTGTTCATTATAAACGTAGTACTCATTCTGAAACAACAAAGTACTCATTCACAGTCTGCATAGTGTAGTGTTCATTCTGAATTAAGGTGGTGCTCATTCTCAAACAAGGTGGTGCTCATTCTGATGCATGTCATCTGACCGAAAGTGTCATGTCATCTGATCGAAAGATGTCATCTGACTGGAGTCAATCCCTATATATATATATATATATATATAGGTTTGACTTCAGTCAGATGACATGTTTCGGTCAGATGACACTTTAGTCAGATGACATGCTTCAGAATGAGCACTAGCTTGTTTGAGAATGAGCACTATATTGTTTCAGAATGAACACTTTGCTAAGCAAATTGGGAATGAGTACTATGTTATTGTAGAATGAGTACTAAGTCTATGATGAGCAAATGAGTGAGAATGAATCCTACATTGTTTGAGAATGAACATCATGTTATTCAAAATGAACCCTTTGTTGTCAATTGCCTCACTTGGAATGAACACTATGTTTATCTGAAATAAGCAGTACGTTGTGATGAACTGTTGTGTGAGAATGAACCCTACGTTGGGTTAGAATGAGCACTACGTTGATCAAGAATGAACCATACGCTGTCATCTGACCGAAAGTGTCATCTTACCGAAATTGTCATCTGACTGGAGTCAATCCCTCTATATATATATATATATATATATATATATATATATCATTGGGGCAGGATTGTTGGTTTATCATTTTTATTTATGCCTATCACTTTTCTGTCGGGACTTACAGGTAAAAGGTTATAAAAGTGGTGCCAGACAACTGATTCTAAGATGCTGCTGTCCATATTTCCAAGGTTTGTTGTCTATTATCCTCAGATTTACATCCATAAGTCATTTTCTATTATCCTCACTGGAACATAGGTTTCGGTCAGTGGCAGATCTGAATCAAACTCTTCTGGTGTTCCAAACTTTTATTGGGACCGTCTGAATCAACTTTGATGTCTGCAATTTTTTAAATTAATACTCCTACATAAGTGGGGTTGTTTTTAACCTAGCGATAATGGATCAGGGAGTAGGCGGAGTAGCACTAAACAAAGTTTCCTTATACACGTAGTACTCTACAATATTAAACTTAGTATTAACTTCTTTTAGTTTCCTTATAAACGCAGTAATTCCTTCGTCCATAACAAGATTTCATATTTTCTTTTTTGTTTATCCGAGAAAAAGATTCATCTTTCTAATCTGAGGATGAAATTGAGTGGTTCATACAATTTCTCTTGCCTCTGCACAAAATTCTACTACAAACTTTCACCCTTAATTATAATCATATCCAATCAATCGTGGATTTTTGAGACGAAGGTCATACTCATTTTTGTAACAATTGTTTTTCAGCATAACCTTTATATAATATTTTTATCTTAGCGTTTTTCTAATTAGGAGTATAATGTGTGTAGTAATCTGCATTAAACATCTTACGGTAATTAAAGAAATTACTTAAATATTAATTTTGTTTTCCAAAATTACGTTTGTTTGAAACATGTTCAGATTACTTATTGTGGAAGTCTGAAGCTTATGAACCTCAATAAATTACTCCCTCTGTCCCACAATTATCTTTTATGTTTGACTTGACATGATTTTTAATAAAGTGAAATGTGGGTGGTTCTGGTTTGTGAAGAGGATAGAGAATTAATATGTACGACATATTTGTTTCTTTAAAAGGAAAGAGGAACAAAATTTTGGGACAACCCAAATAAGAAAGCAGGAAAATAGTTATGAGACGCAGGGAGTATATGATATATTTTCATAGATGTTACTGCTGTAGTATAATTCTCATTCGCGCCTAGGTGGTTGCCTAGTTGCCTCGGCGCTGTGATAACTACGCGAGTAACAACTAGAACTTTTCAATCTGTACATGCATCATCAGTTCTTGAAGTCTCAGTAAACATTTGTGGCTGACAGGTAAGTTGTTCACGTTTGTGGGAGACAGTTGGGATTTTCCTTTTGGCAAGGCGGGCGGGGACTTGTTCGTAATGCCCTCAGACATGCTGTGTATAATTGTGTGCATATAGAAGAAATAATCACAAGTTTTTAATACTGTATTTTTATGTGCACTATCAACTTGGATTAGGGGTGGACACGGTGCCGTTCCGGTCTGGTTTTGGTTCCAGCGTTCCGGTACTGCCACCCATGGAATCATTACTGGCGCCGTGGCGCCGGTTCACGCACCGTACCGGGCCGGTTTGTTCCGCCTTCAGTTTTTTTTTAAATTTTTTAGTTGTAATTTATAAATGTGTAAGTGTAAAAGCAAAAGAAATTTATAACTTTTTATGAATTAGAATATCTAAAAATGTAGTTGTTATTTAAATAATAAAAATGAAATGTACAAAAAAACTACATTTAATATCCTGACGGTTCAAAATGGTGTCGTTAGACCTGAATTCCTGTTGAACAACAACGGTTGAAATCGGCATGGATAAGACTTGTATAGCTAGCATTTTGAGAGATGAGAATATATGTTCATTCACTTCCACCATTCGAGGAAGTCGAAGTTGTTGTCTTTGTCGTGATTGCATTTCGTCGTAATTGTATGGCACCCCTTGGTACATTGTAAGTTCGTTGTACTTAAACTTGTACCAACTGAATTCATCAAGGTAGAATTGCGATTATCATTTTTTGTCAACAGGTCATCGATTATTACTTTAAAACCTATTTTGCGTTGGGAGGTGGGGATATTCAATTTCTTTCGGTGCACTATCGTAAAAGTTTGAAATTTTTTAAATAATGATTCAAAAAGATCAATAGCATTATTTCTCTTTTATCCATTTTATTAAATGATCATAAAAATAATTATTTTCATCTAAAAAATAATTATAGTAATACTCCCATCAGAATTTTAAAATTATCAATTTTAAAACCATGATCACAAATAATATTAATTTTATAAATATCGGAAATATACAAATAACAAGTACATCATTTATCTTTCATAAAAAATATGTAGAGGTATAACTATGGATCAGATAAGCTTTCATGAAAACATGTTGTAATTGTAATAAAAAAAATTTGTTTGTCGTAGGTTTATAAGTATGCGAGAAAGTAAGAGTTGTATTATTAAAAATTTCTAATGCGGCATTCATTTTTTTAAGAATAATAAATTTACTCAAATCAACCATATAATGAAGCAAGTTCCTTTTTGTAGCTCAGAATCTATGCAATCAACTTATATGTACTATTTAATCTAATCGTAATGTCTTTAATACATCCAAGTTTTTCAGAAAAAAGAAAAGGTAAATTTTCCTCACAAATCATTTCAGCCATTTTTTTGTTTATTTTGCTCATCACTATAAGCAAAAAGACTGCCCTTAAGCTTATTCGCAAAATGTGAAATTTGGGTTTGTACTTGTCCCTTCTTCTCCATCATTTTACTTGTCCCTTCTTCTCCATCATTTTAGCGTACTCAACAATGCGCCTCGTTTTGAGGTGTTTGGTCAGTCCTTCATAACCTTCGAAAATTCCTATTTTATGACTGCCCACAATGAAGACAAGTTCCAAAAACTATGCCATTTTTTGTATCTTTACTAAAATGATATATAAATAAATCGGATTTAGGTTTTTTACCTTTCCCCAGACCTTCATAGGTCTCGGGCTCATCTTTCTCTCTTCGTCGACAGGAACATTGCTCTCGGGTGTTGGTTCGACCTCCTCTTCAACGTTCTCGAATATATCATCAAGAGTTTGAAGATTGGCATCATTCTTACCTCCCAAATACTGCTAAGATTCTTCATCAGTCACAATGTCGCCCATGAAGTGATGGGGGACTATATGAAAGGACGAGACTGAGTGTCTTCATTCAAAAGCACATGAGCTCGAACTTTCGGAGATGACGATGACTTGGCCTTTGTTAGAACCTCATCGTTCACAACGCCTATATCTACGAACCTTCTACTAGACTCCCTTGATATTTTAATACTCCCTCCGTCCATGTATGATCTTCTCATTACGCGTTACGAGGCTTGACTGACTTTATTTTCAATTCAATTTAATTGATTATAGGAGTAAAATTTTAAAATAAAATTTTAATAGTAATAAACTACATGAAAAGTTCTACAAAACTAGAGGTGAAAAGACTATATTATTTTATGAAATGATTAGTAAAATTGAGCAAACAAAGTGAGTAAAGTTTGACCCTGTGAATAGTGTCTGGGAAGATCTATGGTGGACAAAGGGAGTATATTTTTATATTGATAAAAGAATTGGACAATATATTAGAAATTTAGAATATTATAATATTCTAAATTTATACTATTAATAATATAATATATTTATAATATATGGTTATATATATATATATATATATGTATATATATATATATATATATGTATATATATATATATATATATGTATATATATATATATATATATATATGTACAAAAGAGATCATTTACTAGAGATTGAGAGAGAGAGAGAGAGAGAGAAATTGATGATTGAACTAAAAAAAATTAGTGGAGTTTATAGGTAAAAAATAACGCCCACCCCATCCAAACGGCTATATTACCGTTGGAGACGCTCCCTAGGGCCTACTAGGTTTGCAACGGTCGCAGCAAAGAAAGAAAAGGAAAAAAATACAAAATTGGACCAGAACTAAGACCAGAACTGTCCGTTTCGGTCCCAATATTTATACCTCGGAACTGGACCCGTGGACGCCGCTTCCGGTCAAGTCCTCTGTATCGTTTCAGCGTCTCCGTCACCGATGTCAGTGGCGTAACCGCCGGTTTCGGCGCCAACACCGGTTCCGTACAAGGACCGTGTCCAGCCCTAATTTGGATTTACTCGAAAAGGTATATGGTACAACCAATTGTACCAAAAGTAATGTACAATCGAGTGGTACTTATTCTTGCATCGACATAAGTATTCATTTTGAAGTAGCATGATAATCATTCAGAAATAATGTAGTACTCATTTCACACATTTATTTAATACTCCCTCCGTCCCACTGTCTTTGTCCACTTACCTTTTGGCACACCATCCAATGCACTTCTTTAATCCATTTTATCTTGTAATTTGTATATTAAAAAATTATAGAAATTATATATTAATAATCTATATGTTAAGACGAATCAAACAAGATCACACATGACTATTTTTAGGCTTACACATTGAGAGAATTTGATGAGTCAAAGTGCTTAGATGAACAGTTCCAAAAGTCAAATGTGGACAAAGACAGTAGGACGGAGGTAGTATAATTATAATATTCATCTACGAATAATGTAGTTTTCATTCTTAAACAAAGTGGTATTCATTCTCAAATAACACAGTGTTCATTCTCAACTAACTCACCGTTAATTCCAAATTTGTGAGTCTGGAATCTAGAACCATTCTTCATATTCTTCACTGAAACGCTAGACCGACCTAGGGTTTCTACATATGCTACTTCTCCCATCTTCTTCTTTACTGAAAGTTGCCTAAGTTTTCGCAAGTTTTAGCTGCCATCGCCTTCGTCGATCTCATATACCATCACTTTCGCCCCCATCAGCGTCTTCTCCTAGCGACCTTCGGTGAGCCCTGATAAGTCTGTTTCATTCTTATCATTTACATCATATTCTAAACGTTATTGTACGCAAATAATATTTAATCATTTCATAAAATGTGATTTCAATGAAGAAAACTCTCATTTTCGTTCTAAAGAGTCATTAAAAGGGATTCCACATGAAATCATCAAAAATCATCCATTTTATGTTCAAATACTTGAGAAAAAGGGAATAAATCATCAAGGATCAAGATTCGGGCTTAAACGAGCTTCCGGGAGGTTAAAATCGACGTTCGGGCCGAAAAGGAGCGAAATTGGGCCAAGATCTCTCACCAGCCGCGAAGCCCAATGGACTAAGGCCTCAAGGCGTCCAACTTGGACGCCTGACCAAGTTAGATGCTTGGGAGTTGGACGCTTTGGCTGGATTGCAGTCCAAGGAAGACACGTTGCAAAACCTGGTTGGCCAGAATAGCTCAAGCGTCCCGATCTGGATGCCTGGACTTGGACGCTTCTAAGATACTTAGATATTTCTACAATTGTGGTTCATCCTATTCTTTGTGTCTCAATTGAGTTGTCTATTTACTATTTGAAAAGTTAAATTAATTTTTTTTCACTATTTTTCTCTATTTTCATTTACTCATTTGATAAAATAATATAATCATGTCAACTCTTGTTTTGTAAAACTTTTGTTAATTTTTTTTGTTGGTGTCTAGTTTTTTAAATATATGTAAATTTTATTTTTTAATTCCAACCCAATTCTCAAATGTATTGTATTGAAAACAAGTTCATTAAATACTGTAAACTAAAATATACATTTTGAATTGAGATGGATGGAGCAGAGAGTTTGACAGGGCAAGTGGTTAAAAACACTGCAACTTTTGGGCCAAGTTTGGGAAAGAATATCTATTAATTACTGTAAACTGCACAATATACATATTTTTTAACATTGCTGCACAATCTACATATTTTTCAAACTCAACAAAGATTTGAAAAATTTTTCAAACTCTAAATGGATTCTACAAAAAAATTAACCAAACTCTATATGGATTCTACAAATATTTCAAATCCACCAACGTTTTGAAATCTAAAAAAAATCCAATAAAATCCTAATTGAATACACTCCCTTAGTTTGCCACAAAATGTCATGTCCTTCTAAGCATTTTGATCTAGACCTCAGTCAGGATATTCTCCGATTCTACTATTATTTTATTCTTCATTTGTTTTAGGGTTTCCTTAACATTTCTAAACTTGATTGATATGCATAGGGGGGTACAGAATCCGGGTCGGGCCAGAAAACTGGACCGGAAAAACCGGTTCCGGGCTAGAGCGGTAAAATTCCGGACCGGTCTCCGGTCTAAAGATTTTGGACCGGTAAAATTCCAGTCCATTCTGGTCCAAGACCGGATCGTTTCCGGGTCGGACCAATAAGACCGGAATGTCTATTTTTTTAAAAAAAAAAATTAATACCTATAATACGGAGTATAAATATAATTATAAATACAATTGTATATTTTCATTTATTCTTCTTGTTTTAATACGAAGTATAATTTTTTAAACTTGCTAAAATTAGACTTGCTAAAACCAAAATACTTTAAAATACAACTTTATACTCCGTAATATTTTTAAAATCTTAAAACTAACGGAAGTATAAGAATCATTTTAAACTTATTATATTGTTGATAGAAATATTTTATATTAGTAATATAGTTTCTTGAAACACACCCAATGGATATAAAAATTAAATGTAGGGTTGAAATCAATTCAAATCAAGCTACAATGTTGAGAAACAAGTTTAAAAAATTGACAAAAAGAATTGGAAAAAATAAATTCCGGGTTTTCCGGGTTTTGCCCGGATCGGACCAGAAAAAACCGGTCCGAATCGGTATCTAATAGGTCCAATTTCGGTCCTATGCTTTAGGAGATTCTGGGTTTTTTATTTTTCCATTTCTGGCCCAGTCAGATCTGGTTCTAGACCGGGGTACACCCCTAATATGCAAGAATAGTCTTTATCTGTCTTTAGTTTCTAGTCTCTTTTTAAGAAAAGATGCACCAAACTTTGGCATCGTTCCCCAATAAGCCAATCATATGGAGCTTTAGGTACATATATAAACTTCAACCTAAGGCATATTGTTGAAACCACTCCTCACTCTTAACATCTTCCAATAGAATCTCCCTTAAATCCTCAAAAAGTCAAAAAAGGAAGATCTTTCAGGAACGGAGGAAGTAGAAGATAAAAATTACAGTGGGAAAAAGAAAAGAAAAGAAATTCGAACTTATAACACGCTTGGATTTCACAACAAAAATAAAGAAAAAAATAGGTACAAGAAGTCACCGAATATGTTCTTCCTTGCAGAGAGGATTCGAGTGTTTCAGATATGTTCTTTCCTGCAGCCAAGCCCCCCTTTTATAGGAGGGATGTTGGCTATTCAAGTGGACCGGCGGACATTCCAAGGCATCACAGGTGACTCCCTTCGCCTTTTATATGTTCTTTCCTCACCCTTCGCCTCCTTGTGCATGCATGCTTTAGTGACAATTCGTTGTGTATGATTCGGTCTCGTAAAAAAGATAAGTGTTTGGCCCATGCCCTCACCACGTCCCGACGCATCGCGCGCACACACACGCCAACACGTGTTCGCGCGCGTGCCTTGCCGTGTTGATCCAAACGGACAATTCTTCCCTGCAGCCAAGCCCCCATTTTATAGGAGGGAAGTTGGCTCTTCAAGTGGACCGTCAGACATTTCAAGGCGTCACAGGTGACTTCTCTCCCTTGCCTCACTTGTGCATGCATGCTTTAGTGACACTTCGTTGCGTATGATTCGGTTTCGTAAAAAAAGATAAGGGTTCGGCCCATGCCTTTGCCACATCCTGACGCATCGCGCGCACACATACACCACCACACGTTCACGCGCGTGCAGTGTCGTGCCAAGCCAAACGGACAGCGACGGTGCGCGAGGGCTCCCTTGGTTCTTCCTTCATAAATTGCTTTACAATACTATTAAATACTAGCATATAAATAGAGGAAGTTGAAGAGCCTATGAATTCGATCAATGTGGGACACAAGAATTCTCCACTACCAAGTATTCGATTTCAAGAATTAATATCTCAATCACCCAAGCACCAATTTTGGCGCATAAATACTCGTCTCACTTAGAATAATATTTTTCCATAATTATTTTGAAAAAATAAATTGTGAATCTACCAAAATTTAAGTCCAAAGTTGTCCCGTTATGAGTCAAAATTTCAAAAATTTTTTGGGGACGGAGGGAGTATAATTTTAAATTTGACAAGAAATTATGAAAAAAATATAGTAAAATTTGCACTAAATAGGACTAAAACATAATGACTTTCCCAATGTAGGACTTAAATTTTTACTCCCTAAATAGGACTTTATAATGACCTAGTCGAAGGAATAATGTCCAGTAATGATGGACATTTACTTGAATAATGACTACTTGATAATGACCAAAAGTCCTACATTGAGAAATAAAAACATATGGTCCTATGTTGGGAAAGTCATTATGTTTTAGTCCTATTTAGGTAAATTTCTCAAAAATATACTCCCTTATTGTCTCCATTTCATTTCATTTTTTATTGTCTCCAAAAATATTCCCTTATCTATTAAAAAAGTACTTTTACCCCATACTTTTTCATACCATCCATCGCATGATACATTTTTACTAATAATCTACATTTCACATCTTATTTTTTCACATCACATTAAGAGTATTTTTAGAAAATTAACACAGAAATAATACTCCCTGAAATCCTCAAAAGGTCAATAAGGGAAAATATTTTAGGAACATATGAAGTATAATTTTTCACTGTACAATTGTATTTATTTACGTGAATTTATATTTATAGTAGCCGGTTAAAACGTGTATGAATTTAATAAAAAAAAGTTAAAAGAATGGTTGGAAGTTGGAAGTAAGGGAGAACATCTGTTACAAATTCTTAAGATGAGTGCGTAAAGGGAGCGATCAAATTAAAAGAAACTCTAAATAAACAATGAAAGAAAGAAAAGGGCAGCTAGCTAGAATGTACTCATCGAACAGATGGATTAAAAAGAATGCTATATATACTCGTAACTAAAATAGTGAAATTTGTACTAAATAGGACTAAAACATAATGACTTTCCTAGTGTAGGACTTAAACTTTTTTATTTTCTAAATAGGACTTAATAATGACTTAGTGGAAGAAATAATGTCCAGTAATGATGGACATTTAGTTGAATAATGACTACCTTATAATGACCAAAGGTTCTACATTGTGAAATAAAAACATATGGTCCTATATTGAAAAAATCATTATGTTTTAGTCCTATTTAGATAAATTTCTCTAACTAATACAGTAATTAATGCAATTTCCAGGGAAGGCACCGAAGCGTAGAACATGAACCGCCGCCGCCGCCGGAGCCAGAAACGGCGGCGTCGGAGCACTTGCACTCCATCCCAAGCGACCCGAAGAGCTTCACATATCTGCTGCTTTGCGGCTGCTCGGCGGCGAGGAGTCTGCTGGCTTCTGCAAATCTTGAAAGCAGTAGAAACAGGAGGAGGGGAAGAAGATGTTGATGCCGCCGGAAGGAGGCGGTGGTGCGAGAGAAATCCATGCTTTTGTTTTTGAGGGAGAGCGAAAATTAAATTTATAGGGAGCCGATGATCGATGGAGATGATGAGCGCATGTGATGACGATGACCCTATCTAGCTATATGAGTACTACCTCCGTCCCACTGTTTTTGTCCAGTTTTGACTTTTGGAACTGTTCATCTAAGCATTTTGACTCATCAAATTCTCTCAATGTGTAAGTCTAAAAATAGTCATGTGTGATCTTGTTTGATTTGTCTTGACATATAGATTATTAATATATAATTTTTATAATTTTTTAATATATAAATTACAAGATAAAATGAATTAAAGAAGTGCATTGGATGGTGTGCAAAAATGAAAGTGGACAAAAAGAGTGGGACGGAGGGAGTATTATATATATGCACCTATATTTATATACTCCCACTATGTCAACATTTATAAATACATATATTGACTGAATTTATAGTAGTGTCCACGAAAAGATTTTTTTTTATATTTTAATGTCTTAAATATAATACTTTGATTATTAACATTTTATACTTAGATATAGTTTTAAAAATATTACTTTTAAAATACGTGTCAATGACTCAATATTTTTATCAAAACACAATATATTTTTTCGGATACAATGATATGATCTAAGTTAATAAAGTTTGACTTTCCCAAAGACCATTTACATCCAAGAGTAATTAATTAACTAATACTCCTCTCATTTCACAAAATATTTCTGTCATAATTTTTTGCACATTAAACACATTATATTCCACCTAAAATGTTTAAACTATCATCAAAACAATTTCTCTCCTTAATAAATTATGAAATAAGAGTGTTTTAGACATTTTAAGTTAGACAGAAATATGTTAAAGAACAAAAATTTAAAATGGAATTATTTGGTGAAACAGGAATTTAACGCCAACTTGTCCATGATCAATTTATGACATCGTTTGATCGATTAATTTGATCTAGAAGGTGGCCGGTGGGGTACAACTGTACAAGTAGGGTTTGAATTAAATGAAGAAACTTAGAATCATCTTCTCACGACTCACGATTATGTATTTATATCCTCATCTTATATTTTTAGAACATTCTAAAATAAAGTTTTTACTTCTGTCTAAAGAAATTACTCCGATCCATTTATTCAAAATTTTTTTCCCTAGTTTCATTTTCCATCGGCCCCAAAACGAAAAATTGTTTCAATTAAGATTAACTATTTATCCTTATCTCCCTCCCGAACTAAGCTTTTCATTTAATTTTTTTGGGTGTAATTTGTAAACTTTGACTTCGATACGTGAAAAAAAAATTGTCTTTTGATAGTAATTTTGATATAAATATTTCATTTGAAATGATGTTTTGAAATATTAAAAATTTTGTAAAATATATTTATATATAAGTATGTCATTGGAGACCATAAAAAGTCAAATAACAAGATTAAACTCTCTATGTATCACGCCAAATCCATTCGTTAACTCTATCAACCACGTCTTAATTTTTCACTTTAAAAGTAAGAGCAAAATACGAAATCAACACTCAAATTTCACATCACCCAAATATCATTGTTTTCATAGTAGTAAAGTTTTGTAGGATAATCCATATACTTTTGTATTTCTCTGATCTTTCTTCATATGCTTCATCTATCTTATAAAATTATTGAGAGTTTAACACTTTGACCTCACAAAATTTAAGAAAGTTCTTAAAAATACTCCATTCATCTGAAAATGTTTATCCCATTTGACTTTTCACGGTCTTTAAGATTGCACTTTGACCACTGATATCTTTATTTATACAAAGATATATTTGTTGGGATTTCAAGCGCGTAAGATACGGAAAATATTGAGAATACCAGAAAATAAGAGAACAAACACAAGAAGAGTATATGAGAGAGAAACATTATATTTCCACTATTTCAGGACAATATACAAAAAACTCTTCCATGTTTACAAGGTTAAATTCCAGACACTCATAAACAAATCTTTTCACATTTTATGCCCGGATGTATTTTTCAGAATAACTAAATACAATATACTCCCTACACTCACCCACACTCACCAAGGCACTAAGGCCACTTGAACTTTCCCAGTAATATTCTTGTGTAGAATTCCTCCTATGTTTCTCTCTCTACCTTGGTGGCGTGTAAAACCTACACACACAAATACTCCGTAGCTTTTCCATTTTAAAGGGCAAAGAGAAGCACAATTATTTGCCCCAATCAATTTGCTACAGGATAGAGTTCATTCAGATGCAAACTTTCACTGTTTTGATAACTCCCCCCATGGAGTACTTTTGGCTTTCCCTTTGTCGTGTTCCTCTTTTTTTTCTTTTTGATTTTTTTTCTTTCTTTTTGAATATTTAATCAATATTTCCCAACAAACTCCATCTTGATTAAATATGATAATCACAAAAATTTGTAGCTCCATCTTACTTCTCCGGTGAGATCACCGTTACTATGAAAGAAAAAAAAATATCCTTGGGGCCATCTCGATCTGCTCCACCGAGATTACCACTGCCAACCTCAAAGAAGAAAAAAAATCCTCGTGGCTGCACTTTGGTCCAACCACCAAGATCATTACCGCCTTGAAAATTTTTTCATGACAGTATCTTGCTCAATACCCAAGTTCTCTGCCACCATGTGTTGACTCATGGTCGTGGCCTCACCTTGCTCAATACGACAAGGTCCTCACCATTTCCAATTATTGTTGTATGTTTGGCTCCCCATCTCAATCAACCCGTCAAGATCATTGCAATTACCTTAGTTCCTTAGAGTTTTAACCCTCCACCCGAGCTAAAAAAAGACAATTCACCTTTGTTAACACTCTCTGAAACCACCCATCTAGCAATTAGCTTCTCTCGATCCGCCCATCTTGCACCGCCGCAACAATACCTGCGGGACATGCCGCATGACCTCTTATTGCTGGGAAGACTTTCGACACAAGACAGAAGCCGTAGTTTTCCACTCCGCTAGACACCGGTCTCCTCAAGTCTTGTAATTGCACAATACTTCACAAAGCCAGCATTCTGCTTCGTACCTGGTCTCCATGCCATCCACTTTGTTCCTGAAGTCCCATTTTCGCCTTCTGGCCAAAACTAACTAGTCTCTAGGTTCTAAAAATTTCTCCTTTTACCACTTAAAAATCTCTCCTACCCAGCGCACCAAGCTCTGATACCAGAAAAATGAGAGAACAAACACAAGAAGAGTATATGAAAAAAAATATAATTCCACTATACCAGGACAATATACAAAAAAATCTCCCCTGTTTACAAGGCTAAATTATATTCCAGACACATAAACTAATCTTTTCACATTCAATGTCCGAATGTATTTTTCAGAGTAACTAAATATCATTTACTTCCTACACCCACCCACACTCACCAAGGCACCAAGGCCCCTTGGAATTTCTCAATGATATTCTTGTGGAGAATTCCTCCCATGTTTCTCTTTCTATATACTACGTATATACTTTGGTGGTGTGTAAAACCCACACACACAAATACTTCGTAGCTTTTCCATTTTAAAAGGCAAAGAGAAGCACAATTATATTTGCCCCAATCAATTTGCATGCTACAGGATAGAGTTCATTCACACGCATACCACTTCCACCTTTTGACAACTTCCCCCCATGGAGTACTTTCAGCTTCCCCCCATACTTCCTCTTTTTTTTCTTTTTGATTTTTGTTTTTCTTTCTTTTGAGTATTTAATCAATCTTTCCCAACAATATTTTATAAAAAAATTGATATTTTGGAAACTATGTTTCAATAATAATATATTGATATTAAAGTTACATCATAATACAATTTATTTTTTTTGATATATCAGAATCAATATTTACAAACTTTTACCAAGAAGCGTCCACTGACACTACGTCAAAAACAGATGCTGACAACTGTTGTTTTTAGTAGTCTAACTTTGCTAGTTTCAGTAGTCTTCCGAGCGGCTGTCTGATATATTCACAGACTACTGTTTAAAAACAATTGTGTAATACGGTTGACGACACCTATTTTGTGATGTTTCAGAGTACATGTTTTTGAAGTTGTCCTCGTATGACTAAGACATCTGTTTTCTAGAGTTAAAGACAACTGTGATGTTTCATTGTGTATCTATAATGAATATTACTGTTATTTTTGACTTCAGACTCCTATTGCATGGTGTTTTCGTTCAACAACATATACATCTAATTTCAAAAGTAGTTGAAAGATATATCAGACTGCTGTTTGGAAGACTACTAAACAAAAATAACATCAGACAACTGTTATCTTGTGTTATATTTCTAAAATGTAGACTACTAATTTTGTTGTATTTTAAACAACCGTTTCTTTCAGTTATATAGTGGTCAATAACACTACACTTTTTTGTAGCTGTCCTTGAAATATTCAAACTACCTTTTTACATAGTTGTCAGATTGTAAATCAGACTACTGCTTCAAAGACAACTAAGTATGTTTGCATAAGACAATTGCTATTCTATGTTGTATTTTTAAAATGTAAACAACTATATTCACTATGTTTCACACCACTGTTTGTTTCTATTGTCTAACATTTATTTACAATCCAGGTTGGTGTAGTTGTCCTTTAAAAATTTAGAAAACTGTTTTAATACATTGTAAAGCTGTTTGAATGACTACTGTATTTCAATTTACATTTATATTTAATAAATAAAATTTATTTCAATTCCAAAATATTGATCATGAAACAAAAATAAATTCTAAAATGTAGAATACATTGAATAATATCTAAATACATACAATCCAAGTCTAAAAACATCTAATAATTTAATATTTACATAATAAAAATCACTCTAATTGTCCATTCAACAAGCCTAATTTAGTTATTTGTCGCCTACTCGCCTCAATTAACATTTCTGAATACATCTCTTGCTCTAGCAACATTTTCTTGTAAAGCATCCACTTTAGTCCTCAATCTGCATACCATTAAATAATTAAAATGAATGTTTGTTGATAACAAGAAAGAGTTCATAACAAGTAGTTCATATGCATCTATTTAACAATTGAAGTTCATAATTCAGCTTAGAAATCAAGCAAAGCTACAAATTTTTCTAAATAAAAAATAAATCAGTTTAGATGAATACAAGTAATTGCGGCACTAGTGATAATTTATGCACAAGATGACATATGAAAATGACAAAGTTACTTTTTGAGATTTTAAAAGTCATAAGCAAGTTTATGTGTAAAAAATAACCTTAACAGACTGTGTGGTATTGAACCAATTGAACCATGTTTCAAGACGAATTAATGCACTTTCCAAGAAGATAGATATGTCACTTCATTCATCAGCAGAAAACTTATTTTTCTTAATGCCACAAATCAAGTCTGCAAAAGGGAATTTTTATACTGGTCAATAAATTTATGATACTATTTCAAAATTTATAAATGACAAAGACAATCTTTTCACTATGTGCAATCCAGAACACAAACATAAATAAAGATCTCAGAACAACTAAAAAAGGATATTTAGGGGACAATTACCCCGTAAAGCCAGAAACAATGTTGAAGGATTTCCATTAGTTGGATGTTGAGGAACCAATTCTTGAGGGACCTTAATGAGAAAAAGCAGGCCTAGTCTTAAAAACTAAGAAATCTATAAGCTCACAATTTTCTCAGAAGAGCTCTTGTCCTTACCATCTTATACTTGTATTCAGCTGCAGATTTGCCAAATAATATGAGATGCCAATAGATTTAAAGCACATCATTGTGAAAATAACGGATGACTATCCACAAAATTTAAGGTAAAGCCAAATGTTAGTGTTACCATAATCAGCTCCAAAAAAACAGCAATGAAAACCACCCCACACGATGCCCAATGCCAAAGTCAAACTTCCATTACAAAGTCAGCCAAAACAGTAGCCCCAACACTGCCATTTCAGCTCCATTTCAAGCCCAAATGCACCGCAAAAATAGCCACTACAGCAACACGGGTTGAACTCCAAAACAAGTATCATTCAAACATCAAAATTGTAGAGGAGGAAATCTCCACAAGCAAGTAAAAGGCTTAGCAAAATACAGTTCCAAAAATACAGTTAAAATAGTCCAAAATAAATTTTGCAGCTCCACAACTCCAAATTCAAAGCAAAAGTAAAGAGTTTGTTTAATTAAAATTTGAATTGCAGCATCAAGAGCACCTTCAAGAACGACCATAATCCACAAAAATTTTTGCAAAAATCAATAAGGAACATGGTTCAAAACATATGGCAAAATCTCGCTCTGTAAAGTAGCTTGTTTCCCAAAACTTCTCAAATCGCAGGTAATTCAAATGGAATTGAAATCCAAGTATATACCTTGGATTAGGAAGCCATTTCGCTCAGAATCCTAGAAGGATGTTCTTCAATTTTGCTTCAGACAACAAGAATCTACGATTGAGTTCGTAGATGAACAGTAATGGCGCAGCATTGACCTTCGTTCCTTGCAAAATCAAATCCAAAAACAGCAAAAACAACCTCAAAAAGGGAATCACCCGCTGTAGGCGAACATTGAATTCCAAAAATCTGAGCAAAAGATCTCAATTTGATGGAGTAATCGCAGATAGAAGCTTCGACGTACCGTTCACCTCGCGGAGAAATTGGGAGTTGAGTTAGCGGCTCAATGTGCAGGTTGTGTGGACTTAAAATTTTTAACCTAATATTTTCCCTCTCCTTTGTCAAATTTTTTTTCCCTCTCCTTTGCCAAATTTTTTTCCCTCTCCTTCTTTTGTCAAAACTTTTATCTTCCCTCTATTTTTTATCCCATCTACCCTGCTAAGTTTCACTTCTTTAGATTTTATCTTTAATTAATTTAACTTTTTACTCTATATTTTTTATTTCAAAAAAATTAGTAACTTTTTGAAATGATATCACTCAAAATAGAAGTAAAAAAGAGAGAATGTACTAAAATAGAATATAAATGTTTTTAATCTCAAAATAAAAGTTTTTATTGTGACATTTTATATTGACCTTATAGAGTATTTTTTGGTATTATGTGTTGAGATTATTGGAATTGTAACTCTGGTTTCGTAAATAAAAATATGTAACTCCGATTCTGACTAGTATCTGATAATGATTTTTAACATACATGTACTACCTCCGTTCCAAATTGTTTGGGACATTTTGGAGGACGTGTAAAATATCATCTTTTTTAAAATAATTTTATTTAAAAACATATTTGGTAAATAAAAAGAAAAAAAAATTGTACTTACAATTACTTAGGATACTCACATTCTTGGCCATATGAGATCTTACTAGTACTGATAACAGAACAAGGTAATTGTGCAGATCCATTTCTTCTCAATACTCATATTTTTGGTCGTATAAGATCTTACAAGTATTGATAACTGAACTTGTTACTCACACTGATCCAATTCCTTAGGATACTCACACTTTTGACCGTATGAGATTTTATAGGTACTGATAACTGATCTGGTTACTTGCACGGGTCGAATTCTACTAAATACTCACATTCTTGGCCATATGAGATATTACTAGTACTGATAACAGAACAAGGTAATTTTGTAGATCCATTTCTTCTAAATATGGTCATATTTTTGATCGTATAAGATCTTACAAGTATTGATAACTGAACTTGTTACTCACACTGATCCTATTCCTTAGGATACTCATACTTTTGACCGTATAAGATCTTACCGGTACTGATAACTCAAATGGTTACTTGCACAGATCCAATTCTTCTAAATACTCATATTTTTGGTCATATAAGATCTTATCGGTAATGATAATAACAAGGTAATAGCGCAGATCCAATTCTTCTAAACACGTATACTTTTGCGCTAATAAGATCTTAGAAGTGTTGATAACTGAACTGGTTACTCACACTGATCCAATTTTTTAGGATACTCATACTTTTGACTGTATAAGATCTTACCGGTACTGATAACTCAAATGGTTACTTGCACAGATCCAATTCTTCTAAATACTCATGTTTTTGGCTATATAAGATCTTATCGGTAATGACAATAACAAGGTAATAGCGCAGATCCAATTTTTCTAAATACGTATACTTTTGCGCTAATAAGATCTTAGAAGTGCTGATAACTGAACTTGTTACTCACACTGATCCAATTTCTTAGGATACTCATGCTTTTGACAGTATAAGATCTTGCCGGTATTGATAACTGAACTGGTTACTTGCACAGATCCAATTCTTCTAAATACTCGTATTTTTGGTCGTATAAGATTCTATTTTAGATACCTCCAAAACAACTTTTTCCTCCCTCCCAAAAAAAATTTCTTACTTTGATTAACGTGTAAAACCCTGTGGTTTTTAAAATCATATTATTTGCAAATTGGTAAAAAAATAATACACAAAAAAATTATATTTAAAAACTATATCGAAAACTCTACAAAATAAAAGGTGATAAGAGTATTTTATTTTATCAAATGATCAGACAAGATCAATTTTAATTTCAGACTAGATTTTAATATATTAGATCAGACAAGATCAGATCAAAGAAGATATCATCAAATTACATTAAAACATTGTTGAAAGAATCTGGGAGGACATAGAAAAAATGGGAAGTTTTTCCTCTTTCCAATTTCATTCTCTCTCTTCCCAATTTCATTTTCCCTCCTCCAAATTATCACCAAATTCATTTTCCTTCTTCCCAAATTCATTTCCTCTCTCCCCAATTTCATCCTCCCTCTTCCCAATTTCATCCTCCCTCTTCCCAATTATCACCAAATTCATTTTCCCTCTTTCCAATTTCATTCTCCCCCTTACTAATTACGTTTTTCATCTTTGCAAGTTTCGTATCACCGCAACACATGGTGATAAAGAAACAGTCCAGGCCCAATCCTCCGCTGCACACACGAAAGAAACCTGAGAAGCTGCGCCCTATCTGATTTGTTGTTCACACAAGGAGAACTCCTTCTCCTACTCATTATCTTTTTCATCTCCATCAAAAGAGGCGAGAGAAGAAACGGAGCAGCGCAAATCCCGGAGCGAAGAATCCCAATCCAAGATGGAGTAGCCGATCTTATGCCTATAAAACCACAGAGGAGAGCTGCGGGAGAACCACCACAATCAAAAACAAAAATTAGAGCTTCAATTAAGGGTAAAAACCATAGGGGGGTTCGGGTCTTGAACCCAAAACCCCCTTCGTTCCCTTTTGTTTTTCTCTTTTTAGTGTTTCTTTTATTTTTTTCAGTTTTTAGTGGAACTATTTGGTTTCTGTTTTAGTCTCCCAAATTCAGGGTTTTTTATTACAAATTATTGAGAATAGAGTTTGCTACTGAGTTATGGCCGGAGGTTTACATCATTCTTTTGTTTAAAATAAGGCTTGAATGGTGTTTGTTTGCACCTCACTGGTATAGTTTTCTCACTGTTGCTCCTTCGAAATACATTTTGTTGGATTGGAAAAAAAGGTGGTTTCAAAATTTGTCTCACTTAGAGATAAGCCTTGAGTGTTTCACTTGTTTTTGTGGGGTTCTTTTCATATACAAGTGTATTTGTTTAAAGTTCATTCATGGAACTAGGCCATACGAAATGTACTCTAATGATACATAAGCTTAAGAATAAATTTGGCTTCAAGGTGGAGGCACATGAATGACACTAGGCTCTGGCGTGAATCTGTAGCAGATTTTGGGAGTTTTCTTAGTGTTTTGGTATAATCTAGGATCTGATTTTGTCCAAACTAACTTATGAAATCAGAATTTTTGAGGAAATATCTGGTCTTGTTTTAAAAAGAATGAATCTGTCTATGGGTTTAGACTTTTACAGCAAGCTTAATACTCTTAACAAAGTTTTTAACAAAGTTTTGATCCTGGATATTTATTTTCCTTATAAAACAAATGGTTGGTTTTCTAAAATTGTTTAAGTCTTTAAATTATTGTTTAAGTCTTTAACAATTTGCTAAAATTGTTAGTTGTTTTTATTCAATAAAAACTAACAAAGTAACTGATTTTCATAACTTGAAAAGTATCTTTCCTTGTGGGATTGACTCTTATTTATCCTATCTATAGATTTAATAAATATTATTTTAACAAGAAGGAATTGAGTAAAGGAAAATATTAAATTAATTTTTTAGGTGCTACGACACGTTTAACATTGACTTCGTTGGGTTTCCTACCTATCCACTTGTTGTGTTTGAACTCAAACCAAGTGCAGCAATGAATGAAGGCTTTCAGGACAATGTGACAACTTCTAGCACTCGGCCTTGGCCCTTTGGCATGTCAGCGGATAACCTTAACATCTATATATAATTTTGCTTGTTTTGTCCCTCTTTATTTAGCCGTGCACCCAACAGATTGAGGAAGCATCTTTAGAAAAGAAATTCAAGATGTCAACTCGAAGAACAAGAGCCCCTCTAGTGCAAGGCTTTGTTTCAGACAGTAATGGCGAGCCAAAGCTTGTGTGCGATAGATATAGCGGACCCTTTATGTTCCTCGGACCAACATTCTACATTCACTGTGGGTCCTACGTTCTATTTGGATTTCACCATCTTCTTTTTGTTTCTTTTGCTTTTATGAGTGAGATTGATTGATTGTATGAGTTCCCAATTCCATTTGTGCGTAGCGGGACATTACACAGCCTCTCCATGTACTTTTTATATTCTTTCAATAAAAGTGTTTATTTTTTTAAAATGATAATTGTTTTAAACATCGGTTATTTGATTGTTGTCTAAAGTTTCACCCAAAATTATGAAAGTAACGTTAGATAGCATACACATATTCATTGTAGTGAAGGTTATCGTTTCTTTGAATTTTAAAAAAGTTTGAGACTTAATAGCTAAACTACTGTTTTAAAAAAGTATTCTTAACTTATTATAAACAACTCTAGCAAAACAATCATATGACACAGACGATTAGTACTAGATTACTATTTCTCATAATTTTAAAAACAGTTCTACGCTTACTATCTACAGAACTCTTTAAAAGAGTTTTTTTAACTTATTCTAGACATCTGTGAAAAAAAACTCGTGTGACACAGACTACAAGTAATACATTACCATTTCTCATAACTTTAAAAATAGTTCTAGGCTTTATAGCCTGACTATTGTTTAGAATTAGTATTCTTAATTTATTATAGACAACTATGGCAACAAAAACCAAATTTTGATATGACACAGACAACTACTAATAGATTACTGTTTCTATGATTTTTAAAAACCGATGTTGGCTAAGTATCTAGACCATTATTAATGAAGAGTATTGTATTCTTATTATAAACAACAGTGCAAAAAATACTATATGACACATACAACTAGCAATAGATTATTGTTTCTCATAACTTTAAAAACAGTTCTAGACTGAATAACTACACTACTGTTTAAAAAGAGTATTCTTAACTTGTTATTGACAACTGTGATAACAAAAACTGTATTTTGATATGACACAGACAACTAATAATAGAATACCGTTTCTCGAAACTTTAAAAATAGTTTTAAGCATAATAGCTAGACTACTACTTCTATAGCCAACAACAACAAACAATAGTCTGATTTTTTTTAACTACTGTTTTTCCATAAACCGTAGTTAATCAACAGTTGTCTGATACTATTTTTGGCGTAGTGCATGAGAAGAACATTTCCAAACGATGGGAGTGAAAAAATAGCTGACTAAAATTTGTTTATTGGAGAAAGAATGGCCCATAGACACATACTCTTATCCATTGCTTCATGTGTCCAAGAATTATCTTTATGTTTGTTTAATTTTTTCAAGATCTCCATTGTAATACTTTAATTTGACCATTAATATCTCTATTCATATATAATTTTATATTATAAATATATAATATTTTAGAGCTTTATTTGAAAATTAATTTAGTAATATAAAATGTATATTATAATTCAATTTTTTCATATTTTATGGTCAAAGTTAGAAACTTTTAACACAAAAAATCGGAATATAATCAGGTACGGAAGTAGTATCAAATAAATAATAAAGTAAGTTATAAAATAATTTTTGGAACTTCCTAAAAATTGTATGGGGCATATTAGAAATATTTAAAAATAAAATTAAAAAGCTCAATATTGAGAAGGTGAGTACCCACTACTTCAAGACTAAGATCTTGTTTTCTCCACTTTATTATTATTATTATTATTATTACTATTATTATTATTATTATTATTATTATTATATTTATTATTATAGGGTTGTGTTCTCTTTGGATGATTTAATCTAATCAATGAACATTTCAAAGCTTATCTGTTGTGATCTAATCTAAATGGATCTGATCTAATATGATCTAATCTAAATAGATCTGCTTTGAATAGATATGAAGTAATTTGATCTCAATGAAGCTGATTCAGTGTCAAATTCAAATTATTATTATTATTTAAAATTTAATTCTTAAACAAATAATAATAATAACAATAATGATAATTTGAGAATGAAATCAAATTATTTTTTTTAATATTTCTTATTTGGATTTGAATTCAATCAGTAATAATAATTTAAATTTAAACTCAAATCCATATAATAATAATCATAGTATAAAAATAATAATTTTAATTTGAATTCAAATTATTATTATTTTTATTTAATCATTTACTTTTTGATATTCAATATATGGAAGAGAGATTGTTATTCTTATTAAAACATCAAATCATTAGAAAATATGAATGTTATGCTACAAAATATTATATTTTTCTGCATCTTACATAATAAATTTATACTACAAAATATGAATATTAATATTTTATGCTAAAAAGTATTGCATTTTTTCCTAAATTTAAAACAAAAAATTAAAAATTTAAGTGTATAGTTGTCATGAGCACTACCTTCGAATCCTAGATGCATGATACTTGGTGGTGGTTGTGGAAACTAAAATTTTGGTTCAGACAGGCTATGACTCCACACGGTTATGTCATGAGCACTACCTTTGATTACGACACTGACAAATGTGAAAAGACTATCAAATGATAGGTTGCAATAACAACAACAACAACAACAAGAATAATAATAATAATAATAATAATAATAATAATAATAATAATAATATATAATAATAATAATAATAATTCTGATTGGATTTGATCTGATCTAATCACATCTGATCTGATTAGGTATGATCTGGTCTGGTATGATAGGATTTTAATAAGAATAAATAATAAGCAGAAAATATAAGTTGAACGGAGCACTGCCTTAAACAAAGGAAATTTACAAGAAAAAAAAGTCGTATAAGTTATGAATGCTCAACCTCACAATGATATCTAAAATATTAAAACATCCAAGTTTGGCAAAGAACGACCTTTAATTTATTTCACAAGAGAAACAAAATATAATTGATGTGCTTAAATCTATTGACCTCATAGAGGTCCTATTTATACTACTAGGAGAGACCCACCATCACAAATTTCCTACTACAACTAGAAATCATATTGAAGGTTGCCTTTACAAGTTTCCTAGTCTATCCGACATCGACTTTTCAATTCAAGTCATATTGACTAACAAATCTCTACCTTGACTTGAATTCTCTAGTCTGGAACAAACACTTCACTTCTCGTAAACAAAGCTTGTCTTCTTGAGTTGCATTTAATGTCTCTCATCGCAGAGACTCACTGGATCCCTAGTGGGCACGGTAGCTCCAATATAATGGGCGTAATAATGTCTCTCATCGCAGAGACTCACTAGATCCCTACCCATTTCACCTTGATTTTACTCTTGTTTCTCAAGAAATGATACATGACATCAATGTGCTTTGTTCCCTCATGGTAGATTTGATATTTTGTCAAGAAAATAGTGCTCAAGCTATCACACTAGACTACTTCTTGATCTTGATGTAAGCCTAGATCTTTGACCATATCCTTCAACCATATTCCCTCATAGGGATGACAATTTAACCCGAACACGAGCTTAACCGACCCGACCGACCACTAAAATATCCGAACCTGAACCGAGAATAAAATAATCCGAACCCGACCCAAAATTTTTTACCCAAACCCGACATCAGGTCGGGTCGGGTCGGGTGTGGATTTATAATGTCACCCGACCCGACTAAAACCCGAACACTTTATTACATAATAGTCTATCTATGAATATAATGAGCACTCCGTATAATTTCATGACAAAGTGCTACTATATCAAGTATGCCTTTTATAATCATTTTTTTAATTCCTTAATAAAAAACGAGACATAAAAAAGACACACAAAAATTAGATTTTATCATTTCAAAATTATTAGGATACGTCGAATTGATTATTGGTTAAAAGTCGGGTTCGAGTCGGGTTCGGGTTTCGGGTTGAAATGTCGGGTTCGGGTCGGATCGGGTTTTTAGCTTAAAAGGTCGGGTTTGGGTTTCGGTTTTAAAAGTCGGGTCGGGTGGGTATAGTATTATCCGACCCGAACCCGACCCGTTGCCATCCCTATTCCCTCATTTGCTGCTTTCGTTAATGCTTTTAACTCCGCTTCTATGGTTGACAAAGTCACCATTAGTTGTAGACTTGTAGCGTCACCTTCTTGCTCACAATAAGGCCTCCAATAGTGAACAAATATCCTACCATCAAATTCCTGCAGTTTTTTTCTAGTATATCTTCTATTTCTAGGTCTCATAATTATGCTAGAAAATTCTCAACTTAAATAATTCTAAATCCTCATAGACATGGTAAAAATTATTTTCCAATAACTTCATTAATAAAACGTTTAATATTATAATTAGTTGAAACCACTCCAAATAATTATATATAACTCTACGTATTTTTAGGTGTTTGGAACGTGTTGGTTAATTAACTTTATTATTTCATAGAAAAGATTAAATATTAACTTTCAAAGATCATTAAATTATATAAAGAATATTATTAATTAATCAAAATTAATTCATTTTTTAATAATTAACAAAATTACTAATTAATAGATAATATTAAATTCGTTGAATCTAAGTTCCGAATCCTAACCCATGTCAAATCAACAATTCATAATCTCAAATATGAGATGGACATCATCATATCAACACATAAAAGCATCAAATACATAGTCGTCATCATCATCATTCTAGCTAGACAAAGTTAGATTTTATTAATAAAAGTTCAATAACAATTACAAAAAAAATACAAACTTACAGTGCTTCAATAGATTTAGAAATCGGTTCGTGATGATAAAATTTCATTCACTAGCTTAATACAATATTTGAAAGTGAAAAGGGAAATATTTTTCCGAGAGAAGGGAAACTTTGTATTGGAAATGGCTTGGAGATGAAGAAGAGTTCGCAAGCCTTTTATAGGATGGTCTAGACCCAAGGCTTGTGTGTGGGTGTTTGTCAGTATGCCTATCGCTTCGTAACCGACTTTTAAATGCTAGAATTTTTCCAATCACTTTTTGTCGCTTGTCGGTTTGCTCGCTGTCGCCATACACACGGCAGCACCTATCAGCCTGCCTATGCTGCTTGGGTTGTCCACCAATGCCTCTTTGTTTAGAATTTCGTTCTAAACACTTTGTCCTTCTACACCGACTTCAAAGTCTGCACTGTTTAAGAAATAGAATTAGTTTTTTTATTGATAATAGACTGCTTTTATTTCATACTTGGCCTAATTTTGTATGTTAATTCAAACACATTTCTTTTAGGATCAAATTATCAGAAGACATTATTTTGATGAAAAAGATTAAAGAATTGATTGATTTTATAATTACAATTATAAAAGATAATATTAAATATGAGGTAAAAAATAAATACGGAACAGACTTAAATGAGACTTAAATGAGTGCTTATTGGTATAGACATTAGGGGTGGGCACGGATCGGGACGGTCCGGATTTTAAGTTGTTTCGGTCTTGTCCCGTTATATATAAACGGTCCGGAACGGTTCGGATTACAATCTTATCCTGATTTGTCCCATAAAATTCGGGATCGGAACAAACCGGGACGGATTCGGGTCGTCCTACTTTGTCCTAATCCCAAGTATGAGTTATCCTCTTCAATATCTTCATAAAATTCTAACTCTTCAGCACAAGGCTCATCTTCAAAATCAGAAATGATGTCATCACCCCTCAACCAATTTTGCATGCATATCAATGCTTCAACAGATTGAGGGCTTAATGAGCTTCTAAAAGCATCTATGACTCTGCCACCAGTGCTAAAAGCACTCTCAGATGCCACAGTAGACACTTGAACAGCAAGTACATCTTTGGCAATTAAAGCCAATATAGGATATTGGTTAACATTAAGCTTCCACCACCTTAAGACGTCAAAAGATCTATATATTAAAGAATGAGTGTATAGAATTAGAATTATATATTAATAAAATAGATAAAACGGGACAAACGGGACGGATCAGTATAAATTTAAGTTGTCCCGCTCATGTCCCATTTGATAACGGGACGGAACGGGTTCGGGATAAAAAAGTTGTGTCCCAATTATCCGGTACATTTACAAAACGGATTTGGGATTTTTCGGAACGGTCCAACGGGAACGGATTTCGTGCCCACCCCTAATAGACATCTCCTTAGCCTCTTCCGTTTCGAAGTTTTTCAATAACTCTATGTAGTATATTTGGTTTGGCAATTGAAAGCTGCATGGTCGAGTTCTCGTATTTGAAATCCGAGAAAGAAATTCAATCCTCCAATTATAGATTTAATTATATCAAGGTTGCCGACGAGTGATTAGGACAAGGATTAACTTGTTGAATCGTTCAAATTCTGGTCAATGACCTGGTCAACTATAATTAAAATAATACTCCGTAATATTTTATATTTTATTATTAGATATTTTTAAAGATGAAAATAACTTTTCAAATATATTTTTTTTCTTTAAAAAAATATATAATGTTCTTTTTTTATTTGAACTAATTTCGAAATTCATAAAATAAATAGATTGCACAAACATGACTCTATTGGAAATAGGATTTCTCAAACGTGAAAAGATTATACTCCAAACGTGAAAAGATTATACCCCGAGTGTCATTTTATCAAATAAATAAGAAAAATGAATAAAAAAACAAAATTAAAATTTGACTTGGTGAATGATAAAAAGACCACTTAGATTAAGACAGAGAATAACATATTTGTCTTTTCTACTCCCTCTGTTCCATTTTAAATTGTCTATTTGCCTTTTTTCTCCGTTCCAAAATAAGTTGCTTGTTACTTGTTATCGTAAACTTTTATGGGTAAAATACCTAAACTACTTCTAAAATAAGTCATTCTTCTTCATCTTATCTTCTCATTTATCATCACCCCTCCTAAAAAGTAATGACAATTTCGAAAAATAAACTCTATTCTTTCTTTTTCTTAAATATGCCAAAAGTCAAAACAAGCGATTTAAAACGGGACGGATAGAGTATCATTTTTGTCAACCAGGGAGGCACCCGTGATTCCTAACATTTTTGTCTTTAGTGTACTCTATTCGTGGTAATTATGATTAAAGGATGAGCAATGCTAGGGATACACCAAAGGTGTATCTCAAATGTACATCACTCACTTCTCCACCACCCATTTTAATTTTATTTTTATTTTTTTTTTGAATTTCTTGTTTTTTTTTTGTGGACAAAGAGAGAGTAGGGGACAAATGGGATACACATTTGGTGTACTCCTAGCATTTTTGAGTCACAGGGCTAGGCTCTGTTCTAAAGATTAAACCCAGCCAGACCCGACCCATTTCTGACTCGCATTTCATCCCAATCGCATCAAAGTTGAGAACTTGAAAATTGGTCTATTTCAAAGACGCTGATAAAAATGGTTCACCACTACAACTGAGAGTAATTATTAAGAGCACCAAAATACTAAACACTTAGTCCTTAATAGTAAGGATTTAAACCCAAGTGCTAACATTCTTTATGTTCTTAGAAATTTTCCTATAACTGAACACCTCAAAAATAACAAAATCATAAACTTCCTTCAAAGAATACAGAGACGGGAGCTGGCACAAAAGCAAGCTTTCGTTCTTTGGCGCATATCACACATACGCATTTCAAAGCAACTGAAATATGACGTCAACAATCCAAAATCATAGGAAGGAACAAATGTCTCATCACAACAAAGGAAAATCCGAATATAGAACTAGGGACAAAAAATCATTCAATCTTGTGTAGCTGCACCTTGATTGAGCTCGGCAAATCTCAGCCCAACACGCATTGAATGCTTCATGAACTTTTCTGCACATCGGCGCACACATGTCTCCTCCTGTTTGTCCAAAGTTTTGCGACGGAACGTATCAACACAATCAGTAAAGCATCTCTCCACCAGATTGTTGTACATCCGCAGGCTGCAGTACTCCACCAAAAAACGACAAGATTAAGCACTGGGAGTGTGTTGAAGTAGCAAAAACTCTTGCACACAACATGTACACAAAACAATAACATAATTTAGCCAGAAACAAAGCTCTGCCTAATCTGGATATAGCTATTCAAAAAAAGCTAGAGGACCATTGCAATGGATATAAGAAAATGAGTCTCACATGCTATATCATGTTGTAGTCTTCGTATATTTCTTTCAACTGCAACCATGATCAGTTTTCTTTTCTTTTTTTTTTTAATATTTCATCGATTAAAAGGTTACTACTTGAATTTAATAGATTATCAACCTTATCACCCGGAAGTTTTAACTAATGAATTTAATTGATTATCAACCTTATCACCCGGAAGTTTTAACAAATAATAACGCATTTGATTGCATGACTCAAATCGGTTGTTGCTTAAAACATAGTGCTTGATGTTGTTTTTTCACCTGAGTTCATAAAAAGATAGAAATGAAACATTTTTTTGTCATTTTTAAGGACTTATTTTATTCATTCTACTAAGAAAGAGTATATTTTTCACTAATCCAGCAACTTCAGTCATTTCAACCAGAGTTACACTTATAAACATGCTCTAAATACATTTTAGCTAAAAGACAAACTCAAAGAGAATAAATAAAATATCAAGAACACCTAAAAGACTCAACAGCTGTTTTTCCTAACCTCACTAATATGCATTTTTTCATTATTAGTGCTAAAAACTTGCATTCCAAATTTATTGTTTTCATTCAATTAATCTTAAGGTTTTTATAGTTCTAATTCTTACTCCTATACTTTTCAACTTCGCATTTAGCTTGTAGAAAAGGTTTATAATCTATCGACTAGCATGATTCCATCTACGAGCAGCAGGCACCGTGTTATTTAACAAAGTTAATCTCACAAAACATATGTGTAAAGCATAGTTGTTAATGGCGAGCGCCATTTGCGCTTATGGCGCTAAAGGCACTGTGGCGTGGTATTTCCGCCAGTCTGGGTTGTGGCGTGGCGTTTTACCTGAGGCGCGCCAGAGGCGGTCGCTTTTGCCGCTAGGGTTTCTGGCGAGTGGCGTGCGCCAGCCACGCTTTGCGTCTGGTCAAACTTTTTTTGAAAAAATAAACTGACCTTGACCTATTTAATCGCGTTTCTTCTGGCTTGTCGCTCCAATCCTTACGACCGAATTCCCCCAAGGCTCGGAAACCGCTCCAGAGTCTCTTTAGTCGATTCTTCTTCCGGACTCCATCGCCAGCAAAAATTTTGTTATCTTAGGCACAATTGCAGCACAAGTTGGTCACAGCACTCCTCCTTTTTAGCATAGTCGATTCTTACTTTTTTTAGTTGATTTATTTTTATTATGTTTTTTAATCCATATAATGTCCAATGATGCTCATTTTTATACAGAGTAATTATTACGGCATTTTGTTTAATCTCTTGTCTGCTCGACTAGTTGACTCACTTGACTCACAGAATTGCAATTCACATCTCACTTCTTATTTTTCTTTTTTTAGTCTTATTCTTATTCACTATGTGTATTACGGAGTATTAAATTCTTATCACCAAGGTTCCCATGACATTGGGTTCCAATGTCATGGGATGACCCGGGGGCGCTCTGGTGCCCCGTTCGTAAAATTGACGGTTCCTACCCCCCCTAACCTCCCAGTATCCCCCCCACCCCGTCCCGACCCGAACACACCCCCCAGTCCCTTCAGATGACACCTTACGGTGAGATGACATGCTACGGTCAGATGACGCAAAGCTCACCACTGGCCACTGCAAAGCTCATCAAAAACAATTACAAAGCTCACCAAACTGTAAGACAAAGCTCACCATATTTTTTCAATACTTTGAATTTTTTTAAAAAAAATAAAATAAAAAAGGGGTGCTGACTTGACTTTGACCGTTGACCGAGACCTTTGACCGCCTCGCCGGAATCTGCCGCCGCCGCCGTCCGGCCACCGGTCGCCAGAATCTGCTGCCCTGCTGCCGGTTGCCGGCAACCGCCGCCGCTGACCGGGGGTTGACCGGTGTTGCTATTTTATTTTTTATTAATTTTAAATATGTAAAATTTAAAAAAATGTGAGTTTTGGTGTTCAAAATGGTGAGCTTTACTTTATTTATAGGTGAGCTTTGCATTGTCCATTGGTAAGCTTTGTAGTGTAGTGTGGTGAGCTTTGCGTCATCTCACCGAAGCATGCCATCTCACCATAATGTGTCATCTCACTAGAGTCAATCCCTATATATATATATATATATATACACACACACACACACACACACATACATACCCATACACACACACACATACATACATATACACACACACACACATGTTCGCCATTTGCCCGCCTCTCGCCATAAAAAAAGTCCTCTCTCCCGCCCCTCGCCATTTGCCATTAACAACTATGGTGTAAAGCTAACCATAAGGAGTGTTGATTCCGTGCACCCAAGGTCCACGCATAATTTCTGGACCTTCTCACAAAAGTTATTGGGCTTAGAAGGTAAGTGGAAAATGCCACTTTCGCCCAAGCTAATGCGCATAATCTTAATCGTAATCCCCTTATCTTAATCCTAATCCTAATCCTAATCCCCTAATCCTAATCCAAATCTTAATCTTAATCTTAATCCTAATCGTAATCCCCTAATCCTAATTAGGGTTGTTCATCGGTCCAAGACCGAACCGAACTGGCCCGAAGACCGAATTGAATAAAATCACGGACCGAAGACCAGACCTAAATCTATTCAGGTTTGGACCAAACTAGACCGAAATACTTAGGACCGAACCAGTCCAGACCGATTGAACCGAATAAAAATCCATATGTTATACTTATTTTTATCAATTAAATGTATTATAGACTTTTTAATTTGTACTGTGCAAATAGAAAAAAATAAAAGAAACAGGAAACCTAAAAATAAATACACAATATGAACTACTTCTATGTAGAATCATAAGAACTAATGTAAAACATTTTTTTTAATTTTTCAAAAAATAACATAATAAAAATATTTTTAATTAAATAAATTAAGATATCTATTAAAATAGAACATCAAAGTGTAATACGGAACTTAAAAAGTAGAGCTTTTATATTTAGGTTTTTTAGGTCCAGTTGGGTTATTGGGTCTATTCGGTCCAATCGATCTAGACCTAAATCATTTCAGGTTTGGACCGAACCGGATTGAAACCCGAACACCTAAGTTTTATGGACCAAAGACCGAGCTGAAATCCATCCGGTCCGGGTACATTTTGGACCTAACGGTCTTGTTCGGTTGATTTTTCGGTTCGTACCTAAACGCGAACAACCCTAATCCCTAATCCCAATCCTAATCTAACCCTAACCCCCTAATCATAATCCTAATATTAATAGTAATCATAATCCTAATACTAAGGAGTCCATATCAGCAAGGTCCATATAATTGGAATAGACCTGAGAACCTTGGAGGTATTTTCTTACCATAATATCCAAGATGAGACATCATGGTGCCTATTACTCATAGATGGCATCATGTAGTAGATAGATGATAAATCTATTGTAATGGCTAAATGCTAAGTGCATGTTCTAGATGGAAAAATAGAGCTGGATCTTGGAAGAAATTGAAAAGCACTTGAAAAACTGAAAGGACTGGATGAAACTGGAAGAAATTGGATGGAATTGGAAGAAACTTAAAAGAACTCAAAGAAACTAGAAGGAACCAGAAGAAATTAGATGGGACTGTCAAAACTAAAAAAATTAGAAAATCTAAAAAAAACTTTTAAAAATTGTCATTATTATTAGTTTATTGTTATAATTTCTTATTATTATTATTATTATAACTATAATTATTATTATCATATTCATAATCACGTTATCATAATCAATGACTTTAAGATAAAATATATATTGTCATTTTTCATACACAAAAAAAATCAACTTTGCAAAAAAAGAATTAATTAAAAAGTTAGAAGAAATATTAAAATGTTAAATTTTAAAAAGTTATTGTGATTATGTTGCACCTCAAATTATTTATGTAGTATGTATTATAAAATATAATATATTTGTAATTACACTTTATATATTACAAGATTTTTTTAAAATATCAGTGTTGTCACATAATGTGAATATGTGATCAAATCCATTTTTTTCTTTCATGATTGACATTGTATTTGCATTGTAAGTACTATTCTAGGAATAAAAAAAAGAACTCCTAATTTTTTCAATATAATTTAAAATATGATAATTTCCTATTTTATCATATAGATTAATAAACAAAAAATTGTATTATTTAAATTAAAAAGTTGAAAAAAATGAGTGTGAATTGTAAAAATAGTGTCAGGATGAAATAATTTATAAACTATAGTTATGAACATAATAGTTGTAATAATAATACTAATAATAATAGTATATTAATAACAATAATAATATAATAATAATCACATTAAAAATACATCGCTTTTAGAGTAATTGTTTGGGTAGTAGAAAGAATTTGAAGAAAATGAGAATAGATTGAAGGAACTGGAAGGAACTTGAAGAAACTGGAATATAAGAGTTTAAGTTCTGAAGAACAAGCTCTAGGTTGAAACTACAGGAGCAAGAGTCAAAATTATAAAACTCTAAAATGGATTGAAGTAAAACAATGTATTTGGAATGCAAATTTTTTAGCACTAAGAATGATAAAACACATAGTGGTGTGGTTAGGAAACAAATAAGTCCAAGTTGCAATAGTTTTTCAAGTACTCGGTATCCCACAAGACTAATTCACGCGTGAATTGTAAATTTATAACGTATGAAGATAAAAAAATGAAAAATTGGGATAGTTAAGACTAATGCATGTTAAGATTTTTAGCTATGTTGGAAAGTTTTGGCAGACATACGATGCTACTGTAATGTGCCACTCAGATTATAAAAATAAATTTATAAGACTGCGATAATACTTTCTTCATATTTTATTATGGAGATTTAATTGGTGGGAGATGAAGAATAGTTGACTAATGTAGATGAGTGTGGGAGAAGTGTAAGTATTGTCAATAACAACAGCGCAGTCGAATCTAATCCTACGAGAATAGGGTTAGGGTGGAGGGTGATTCCAAGAGACACCCGGCTCAAGTGGCACAAATAGCTAAAGCTCACAGAGGACACAAAAAACAGAGAAATCATAGAGCACAAAAAAAAAGCAAACAAAATATTTAAGGCTAAAGAGAATTGTAAGTGTGGTATCACAACAAAATATTGATGGCACAACAAAAAGATTTTGAAGGCAGTGTATGTTGAAGCGATTGATAAAAAAGTAAAAGAGAATTGATGGTGTTGGTTAAGGCAAATCAACTGTTGAGAAGTGAGTGCCCAACTACGAAGAGGGGAGTTTTGAAGTGTCATGGTACCAAAAAAAGACATGCTTGCACTAACACTCCCTCCATCCGAACTGTGTAACCCGGTCAGTTCTTCTGTTGAGAACATTTATCTTCTTGGCGTACGAAGCACTCCATCGGCGGTTAATGTGAGTTGCACTTTTATTTTTCTTTATCGATCAATCCAGGATTATACATTAATAGCTACCTATGTGACTTGGTAAGAAAGCCTATTTCCTTTTGTATATCACATTTCTCAAATTTATCAAAAGACCATATTTTAAACCCAGATCATGAAGTGTAACGTACCTGATTATAACAATCAATTAGAGATAAAAGCAGTAATAGCAAAGAAGCAAGTGTTGAATGGTAGATGATGTCATGAAAGTAAAAGCTAATAGGAATGCAGAGAGTGGGGATGGGAGGGGAACCTGTCCCGGATTTGGAGTCCATCAATCATGGTAGACATACGAGCCTTATCTTCCTCGGGAAGATTGTCCAGATCGCTAAGCATGCTCTTATCCATTCTGCCGGTTAGCTTCGCCGATTCACCTCTCGGATTTTAGGAGAAGAGTAAAGCCTAAATGTTGTTCGTCTTTATGGTACTCCGTATGACTGTATGAGTGAGGAAACCCTAGCTATCCACTCCGTACTCAGTAGTTCGTATCGATAGCATTAGAATACAGAAATGTACTTCCTCCCAAGAATCCCAAAATTTCTCGTTGGGGTGGGTTCGGTTCGATTTCACCCGAAACCATAAACAAAATTGAAGGTAAGTAAGGTATTCGATTTTGTTTTTATGCATTTTTTATTTTGGTTTTTTCGATTTTTAAAAATAAAAATTTATACATATTAAAAAAGTTGTACACTAACTCAACGAAGCGATAACAATATGTAGGGCTAATTTAAATTTTTACCAAAACCAAACGGAAGATAAATGTGCGGTTGAGTTAAATTTTACGTAAACAATATGTGTCGGGTGTCCAAAAAATATCTATGAGATTCTAACTAAACTCAAAGCTTTCGTTTGTAAATATCAATTACGAAGTATTTACATTTTTGGTATAATACTTTCTTAGAACATCAAAGTTTTTTGTTATAATAAAGTCTCAATGCTAGAGGGCGTGAATAGTGTTTAAAACAAAACGTAGGAAATTAAAACGAAGTATACGGAAAGTAAAGAGCGTAAGGAAAGGAACGCCGAATTTTATAATGGTTCACTACAACTTGTGGCTAATCCAATCCAACGAGAGACTCTCTCAAAAGTCCTACTAACTCCGTTAAGCTTACGGGTGCTTAACAAACGGGTACAACTTGAGAACTCGAGTTACACGAGCCTCGACAATGCTTGCTCGGAGATACAGCACTCCAAGATTCCAACCCGAAGGAATATACTCTTCCTTCATACAACCTAGGGAACAAGCCTCTCCTCTATACAATACTTAAACACTCAAGAACAAGATTGTCCATAAGAGTAGATATTGAGTAAAATTAAGAACGCTCAAGAACACGGTAATATCTTCACGAAATGGCTCTCAAAAGCTATGGAAAATGTGTATGAACAATGCAATGAAAGAGTATTGAAGTTGTGAAGAATTGTGTGTTAAAGTAGACCCAAGAGATTGAGATTGATTGGCATGATTTGTGGAAATTAAATCAAAAGTGGATCTACTCAAAACTTGCCTAACAATGATGTTCAAGTACTAAAATTAATGTTTTGGCTTTGACTTTCCTTTTGAAGGGTCAAACGGTCAACTCAACATCGATATTATAAAGCCAACATCGCTGTTAGCAGTGTTAACTTCCAAAGAAGGAAAGATTTTGTCTTAAATTTCTTCCAACAGTTAGGAGCCAACATCGATGTTCAGTGTTGTACTTCGTTATTTTGAACTCTACTGCCAAAGAAAAATTTTCAAGATTTGGCTCTAACATCGATGTAACACTGCCTTAATCATTGATGGGATATCAACTACCAAATCAAGTTTCCTTTAGGCCTGGCCAAACATCGATGTTCAAACCTTAACATCGTTATTGTCAGACCTTCTGCCAAACTCGGGATTTCCCAGACTTGGCCAAAACAACGTTATTGAGGTTCCAACATCGTTGTTGGGTTTGGTCACCAGAACCATGGTTTGGGCAGTCAACACCGAAAGTTGATGCCAAAAATCCAAATGGAAAACCAAGTGTTGGAAATACTTATTTGATGCATTTATGTAAAAACCAAGTATAAAAACTTAAAAACCATGTCGTTTAGGTGAAAACCACGAATCACCATGTTAAAGACGATTTTAATGGTTTTTTTTATCAAAGACTAAAAACACAAGGTGTTTTTTAGAAACTTTTTGTAGGGAAACCATTAAAATATGCCCAGAAGAAAAAATCAATCATAAAAAGTTAAAAACCACTTGGTTGATACGGACACCAAAAACTGAATGCTGAACATTATGGTTCTGGTTTGGGCAACAACCAACTATTTTTTGCAACTTAAAACATTTCTGAAAAGTGTTTGGTTGATGCATTAAAATGATTTCATGATTTTATAAAATGTGTTTTAGTTTTTGAGAACCAAGACTCGAAAACCAAAGTTGGTCTTGATCACAATGAGACCAACTCAATCCTAAGTCTAAGTCTTCATCTTGGTCTTTGTTCTTGATGCTCTGGGGTCTTGTACCAAGATTGGTTTCTCACCTTGTGATGTTCAATGAAGCTTCTTCATATCCACGACGGTTGGCATTTATATCAAAACCTATCAAAAAGCAAACATCACTTTAGTACAATGATCGTTTGTAGTTTTTCGGGTAGCAAACCTTCCCAGTAAAGGGTTAGTTTTCTCTCTAAGTGTCGTGACTCTCGAGGAGTGGACGAAGGGAATTAGTTAATTTCTCTAATTAGGCGAAGGTTAGGATAGGTTTATGAAAGTCTTCTCGGAACAAAAATAAAGAGAGCAGAGTAACAATAATAAATAAATTTTACGTAGTATAAGTGCAGATCTGGACCTAGGGTCAGAACATCATTTGGATATACTTTATCATATTTTATTAAGGTTCCATAAGGATTTCTGAATCCACTATGTCCCGGTCTCTTGAATTGCGTTAAAGCATCGAACTAGATTTGGCAAAAAACCCTTGCCAATAGGATTCAACCCCAAGATTTCACCACGGCTATCTTGAACCGCTTACAATGAGGATTTCACGACTATCTTCAATCATTCCCCCCAATGATTTGGAAGACTATCCTTGAACCTTTTACTAAAGGATTTATCCGCTATGCTTTACCGTCTGCACAAGGATTTATACGTACGACTATTCTTGACTGTTACAATGAGTGAAAGATGTGTCTAAAAACACAGAAAAATGTTTAACAACTTATGACCTATGATAAAGATCAATCCTTGGCCGGTGAAGAATGAAGAATATACTCTCTAAAAGATTCAAGATCAACCTAATGAATATGAGAGTATATACGTATTATCAGAAGCTCAATGTGTGTGTATCAAAATCAGCAAAAAAAGAATATTGAAATAACCAAAATAATAAAAGTGAAGAACAAGAATAAGAACACACTTCAAATATGAAAACATATGTTTTGAGCTTTAATTCTTGAAGAAATATGAAGGATTAAGCTCATGTTTATAGTGGAAAATACTAAGTAGTCATCAAAGAGTAATTAGTATGGATTTTGAGTAATTAAAAGTGATTGGATTTAAAATATGGAATTTGAGAATTCCCTAACGATAACAGTATCATGGTACGTACCAGCCTAATGGTATCTAGGTACCAGGCGATGGTAGCTGGGTACCGGCCTTGACGTTCATTGGGTACCGGATCAGTTCATTTTGCACTGGAAGAACCTGCACCAGGTGGTATTAGGGTACCGTCTAGGCAGTATAGCCTACCATTATGGCAGTATCAGGGTACCATGTCAGGTACCTGCCCACTGTCCTGGTCTTAATCCTTTTCGTTTGAGTATAAAACCTTTTTTATATTTGAAAATGATTATTAGATGGTTTAAAGCATATTGTGTGAGTGCATTTGAGCTTGTGAATATAGGTATATAAAATCATATCCTCACATTTGTTTCTACTTATATTCTACGCTACTTTAGTATCTCAACTTCATTCTTGAGAACCAAATCTTAATAGATTCGTGTTGTACTTGAAACAGTTAAACAAACGTTAGCTCATGTATTGTTTGTTAACACCAAAACACGATATTTAGCAAACCAAGACTGACATGCACGATAATGCAGATGATCTAGAAATCCTTGACAAACAGCATCGTGTGGCTACCATCCTCCGGTTTGAGGATCCGGTGATGATATAAAATAGTAGCCAGTTCTCCGGAGGGGCTGAATGGATGGTTGAGCATCATGTGGCATGCCGAATGAGGTTGGTGATGCCAAGTTCATCGATCACCCGCCCTTCATTGTTCAAAACCCAGTCTTCTCCGCCGTAGTCGGAGATGTCACCTCCAAGAAAGAACAGACCAGTGATGAAGTAGTTTTTCGGGTAGCAAACCTTCCCAACGAAGGGTTAGTTTTCTCTCCGAGTGTCGTGGAAATCATTTTTGTATATTCAGATCCCACTTGGGTCTACGCACACCCATCTCTACATGATCAAAAGGATGCTCTAAGAGGTTTTTCATCTTCAGCATGGAATACCTTAGAGCATGTATGTTATGCTTGTTGTATACATGTCTTTTTATTCTTGCATATTGTTATTTCCTTAGATGCATCGTCCCAGGGAGAGTAATTCGAGTATGGCATTGGTTGATGTGACAGGATCTAGGTCTATTTATCGTTTTAGATATTCATTATTGTAATGCTCAAGCTTGATTGAATGTTACTCTTCTCCATTAACCCTAATTTTCATTAATAAAATCTTTGGCATTTTTTATGCAAAAAAGGGGGAAAAAGATTTAAAACAGTTGATATTCATTTTTGTCAGAAAATTTTCAAAGGGAAAGATTGTTGGTTCCATGTAGTGGTTAATTGGTGTTGGCATTATTTTTTGACAAATGAACAGTTTTGTTTAGATTTATCTCTAGCTGGTTTAGAAAGTATTGTAGCATCTTGTCCGTCACCTTTAGAAGACATGCAACATCTAAGAATCCTATGGCTACTTGGTCTAATGTTGGATTGGAATTTCTAATCCTACTGGGCTAGGTTTTAAGGGTGGACACATATTTATATGTTGGGATTTAAGTGCGTAAGATACCGAAAATATTAAGAACTCCAGAAAAATGAGAGATTAAATACAAGAAGAATATATGAGAGATTAAATAGTAAGATCCCGATTTCCACTCTTTCAAGACAATATACAAAAAACTCTCCCTTATTTACAAGGCTAAATCCAGACACTTATAAACAGATATTTTCACATCTTATGCCCGGATGTGTTTTTTCGAGTAACTAAATACCTGTTACTCCCTACACTCATCCACACTCACCACGACCCCTTGGACTTTCCCAGTGGTATTCTTGTGTAGAACCCTCCCATGTTTCTCTCTCTACCTTGGTGGTGTGTTGAAAACCACACACATATATTCAATATAATGGTTGTCTTGCTTTTATAACCAAAGAAATACTTCGTATGTGCATGCATGGTTTGAGAAGAAGTCAAGAAGGAAAGATCCACTTTGATTTGATAATATGCACCAAATCAATTTGTTGTCCAAGTCACGTTTCTTTCTTTCATTTTATTCTTTTGTCTTCTTTCTTATTTTCCTTTCTTTTGATTATTTAATCAAATATCCTAACAAACACAAAGAATTGAAAGAGAAAAAGTTTGAGCTGCAAGAAAAAAAGGCGAGATACTGGAATTGGAAAAAAAGTGCTGCAGACCAGAGATTCGTCGCCGACCTTCTAGAGCAGTTTATCATCTTTGTTGTCACCCAATCTCAGTTGCGCTGCTGTTCAATTCATACCACCAGACTCAGGCTACATCCCACTGTTGAACTTAACGCCGCCAACAATACTTTTTGAATTGTGATTGGGTCAAATTTGCCGATTTGATCCATATTTAATTTGGAGGCTCAAGTGTCATTTTTGTAATTGGAGGCTACCCTTATCAATGAAGATAAAGCTACGAGCAGTATTTATTGCATATTGAGGGGCTGACCAAAGAAAGAAAGAGAAAGTAAGAGGATTACGTTAATTCCTATATAGAATCTAAAGAAAACTCTTAAATAAAAGTAAAACATATGTCAAATTCTCATAATATGAGTTCAAATTTAAACTTATCTAAATAGGAATAATTAAATAAGTAATGAGTTATGATGATGTTATCCAAACTGCACTCTATTCGATTAATTATTCTTGACCGCACAAAATACTTATCTCGCCGTTTTCCTTAGCTTTTTCTCTGTACCCATCTGCTATCGTACCTACATTTGTCGTCGACCCTCTGCCACAATCATCGCCGATTACTTCTGTCATCTCCCCCTCCCCCTCATTGCCATTCCTTTTCCTTCCATTTCCATATAACTTTTGGATTGAGTTTATTGTTTGGGACTTTATTATTGTTGAAGAAACTGTGGCTATCAATTTTCTCCGTGTTTTTCATTCTCTGTATGTCAAAATCTCTTCTCTGTTGTTCACGCTAATAGGGAAATGCCTCTTTTCTCCGATCTGTTTCGATGCGTTTGAGGCCCAAAAGGTATTCGACGAAATTCCCCTACCAAAAACCCTTTTTTGTCACTTTTTTATACCTTTTTTTTGGACTTTGATTATTGATAGCGGGAGTTATATGTTGTCCATCATCTATCACTTGTGCGTACCATTTTTATATTAGCAAATTAAAGATACATTTTTGTCCCCTAAATTTCCATTATTAATTAGGAATACATGTATCGATTCATAAAACTTTTTACACTATAATTATCTAATTCATGGCCTATTTACCTTTGTGTGACACTGTCAATTTGCATCTAAAACATTACATATGGGCATTTGTGACATTCTGTATTGTCATATGTGACATTATGTGGTGTAATGGTGGACATTATATTTTATTGGCACTGTATTTATTTCTAACAGAGTAAACATTATATATTATGATTGGCATTACCTAATGACATGTTGTTAGTATGCATTGTCATCTTTGGCATTGTGGCTTTGTTTGACATTGGATTAAAAACTTTTTTTCTTAAGCAGTGAAACTTTGGCCTACAAATACTGTAATTGCATCTTCGTTGGGTTGAGGTTTGGTTTTTGCAATTAATTTTGTATTCAATTTTTTCTTTTTGTTAATTAAGGTGCTTGATTTTTTTAAGTTAGGCAAAATTTGGTAAAGTCAATTGAAACTTGAAACTGAGAATTGGCAACCTTAACATTTTCACTTTCTGTTTGACATTATACATTTACATGTTCAGCCTGATGCATTGGCATGTTTGCCACTATACATTGTCATCTTTGAGATTGTGGCTTTGATTGACATTGTATTTAACATTTTTTTCTTGACAATGGCACCATGGCATTGTGGGAGTGACAATGGCACACCGTCTTGGTTCCAACTTGGTGATGGCAAAACGCAGTGGTGACGACAGCAGTAGGAAATGGAGATCGCAGTGGAAACTTGTGGCAACACTGGCGGCGGGTGCGGCAGCATCTGCTGTGGCAGTTGAGGTGCCGACGTCGCAGGTGGTAGCATGACACAATTAAGCGGCTAAACTAGGAGTAAAACAGTAGTGATTGTGTTAAGGACCAAACTAGGCCTACCGGCAAGTGGAGATGGCAGCAACAAGCTATGACATCACACAGATAGGGCGGTGGCATCATCGGCAGCGGATGGGGTGTCGGCAGTGGCCTGACACATTTGAGCGGACATGGATGGATATTTTGACAGTTGAACGACATGGCACAGTTGAGCAGCGGCATGACATAATTGTGTAGAGAAGAGTGTAAATCATACTTCTGTCTCGTGTTTAACTATTTTGGAACTTACACCTTTAAGGATAAAATGTACTTTGTAATTTAAATATTTTTTTTGTTCAGAATAAATCTGAGGAGCTGAAATGAATATGTAAGTAGTGTGCATCTTCCCCTTTATGGCTGCTTTAATTTATTTAATGGTAATGCTTATGGCTTTTAAGATGCCACTTTTGTCCGATCAGTTGGGCATTACACATTTTATGCTGGATTGTTGGTTGAAAAGTATAAAAAAAATCTTCACTCACTATTATTTTTTTCTCTATGACAACTTAAACACAATAATAATGCCAATAATTGAGAAACAAATCAGCGAGAAGGGAGTGCATTAGAAGATTAATTAGATTAATTGATTTAATTACTCTTACTTTAGGGAATTTAAGTTTCACTTCTTACTTTAAGGATATAACATATGTTTTACTCCTAGTTTGTTTCTTTTCCCTAGCTAGAATATACTCCCTCCGTCCTAAAATTAACTTCTCATTTGACTTTTCGCGGTCTCCAATGCGGTACTTTGACCATTAATATCTCCATTTTTATATGAATATATATTATCAAAATTATATATTTCAAAACTATGTTTCAAAATGAATCTATTGATACTAAATTTATAAGAAAATTTGATATATTTTTTCCATAATATACAGTCAAAGTTTAAAAACTTTGACTGTAAAAGTCAAAATGGGAAATTAATTTTAAGACGGAGGGAGTATTAGAATAGAAGGTGCAATCTTTATAGAGATTAAGTGGGCAAATTATATTATTATACATCCGGTTGTACCGAATTTTGGGTACAACCGGTAAGTAGAAAGAAGGAGAATGGACACTACATTATTTGTAGATGAATATTATAATTATATTGAGCCTGCATTATTTTAGAATGAGTACCACACTAATTCTATTTGTGCGAGAATGAGTACTACTCTACTTCAGAATGAGTACTACCCGGATATACCTATCTCTACGTACATCCGGTTGTACCATATACCTTCTCGATTAAGTGGAAAGGTTGTTACATGGACATAAGCCTCACGGACGTAGAAGAGTTGCTCCAAACTACGTAAACAATCCTCGTACACAGTTTACTGTTTTTACCTTATATTCTACGTGTGTGCTTGTGACAGAGAAGAGGTTATAGCACCGTTATCTGGTTGTGCGAAAGTGCTACAACATTCTTTTTAGCGGCATGTTTGATTGACCTGTTTGCATATCTTTTTGTTTGTGATTTCTGGTCCCCCTACGAACTTTCAGCTACTGGACGGGTAGGGGTAGAAAATAAAAAAGGAGATCTGGAGTAGATGAGTGGGGGTAATAAGTGTTTTTTATATAAAAAAGTTACCAAAATTAAAAATGGAAAGATGATTTGTGAAAAGACAAAAAACAAGAGTGGAAAAGTTATTTATGAACGGGAGAATATTTTTTGAATAAATTTAGGGGTACATCAAAATGGGATGTCCCATTTATACACTAGACAAACACAGACACTTAGTATTAAGTGTCTCTGTTTACATAGTGTATAAATGAGATATTCCACTTTGGTGTGCCTTTAATATGACTTACTACGTACTCCCTCCGTCATAAAACTTTCTTCCCATTTTCCCGTTTTCCTCGTCCTAAAACTACCTTCTCATTAGAAAAAAAAAGATGACAAATGACATTAATACCCTCATGTATTTACACCAATTATCTTCTAACTCTATATTTTGAATGATTGCAAAAAAAAAATTCAAAAAACCTTTTTTAAGGAGGGTAAAATTTGAAGTCAAAGCCAAAAATTAAAAATGGTGAAAAATCAAACTGGGAAGAAAGAATTAGGACGGAGGGAGTAATTTGTTTTATTTTTTGCACCCCTACGGCCGTACATCTTAGTACTATAATAAAGGAGCCGAGCTAGCTCACCAAAGCACTATATATCGTGAATAAATATAGTGATTAACAATAAAAGAGATCGAGTGTAATAATAGGGGAAGAAAGATGAAGTTTATCGGACTCCTCCTCCTCCTCCTCTCATTCTCTTTGGCTTCAATTTCTTCACTCGCCTCCACCAATCAGACAACTCCTGATCACTTCTCTATCTCTTTGCAAGTACGCTCCCTTCCACTGCTCGATCGATCACTACTACCATCTTTATTAACTTCCTCTTTCACTTTTCCGTTTTTAATAATTTTGGAATCTCTCATTTCATATTTTCTTTCGGTACAGATTTAGTTATTCCACCATTTTTCGCTCTTGAAAGTTTTGTAGGAATATTTAATAGTCAGCTTTGTATATTTAGTTAACAAATTAGATCGAATTGTAAACCTTTGTTTGGGACTAAGGATTAGATTGTTGTTCTTGAATGTGGATCTACTCATTAAGTATGCAAATTTAATTCTTATCCCTTGATCGAGTGTATATACACATCTTTAGAGGAAAATGTGTATATAGTATCCAATAAAAATACAGAGAATTACTATCGAGTGAAGTGAGTTTTACTGAAATAACTTGCCAAGTCCCTTAATTATTTAAAAGACGTCAAAAGTCCTTGCATTTTATTGTAAAGATTAAGAGGGGCATTTCGTTTAATATTCCGTTAATGAGGTTAAAAATATATTTTTTCCATTTTGTCCTTAATAGTTTTGTGTTAATAAAGCTCAGAGCCTTCACTTTTTATCTTTTCTTCACTTTGTTTCATTTTTTATTAAGATTTCTCAATTTTTTACGTAACTGTTTTTCAAAAATTCAAAATTGTCTATCAACAGGGTTGTTGGGTAATATTTTTAATTATCGATTAATTGATTTGAATTGAATGCAAAAAAATCAAAATTGGATAAATATCTAACTTTGGTAGAGGAAGCTAAGTAACAAGAAGAAGAAGAAAATAAAAAGATATAACACAAAAAGATTAATTAAGAAAAGATTAATTATTTTTGTCGTATACTCCCTGTGTTTCACAAAATTCTATTGCTTTAATTTTTTGTACATCTCATGAAATACTTTTATATCACCTAAAATGTTTAAAATACCCCTAAAATAATTTGCACTCGCAATAAACAACATAATGATATATATATATATATATATTTTAGGTAGGGATGGATGCATTTGTGTTGTTATATATATACTCCGTATTAATGAAAGAATTGAATTGAATTGAAACAAGCAGTGGCCGCGGAGGAAATGTGGGAGCGAAGGCAAGGGGGGGGAGTGTTGCCTCCCCAAGAAAGGGAAGCCTCCTCTAAATGATTTCATCATTTCTGACTTCCAACCCGTTATTGCCAGCCTCGGACTCGTCCCTTCTAATTGTAGCACCACTACCAAATATCAGCCATCTAAGGTAAAATTAATTCTTTTTCTTTTTTTTTTTTACCCACATATAATTATGAACCCAGGGCAATTTATTTAACTTCGTGCCTTGGCTTTTCAACAAAATTAATTAAATGTCTCCCCAACACACATATATAAAAGATTGCAGATTTAGTTCCAAGTTTGGAGAAGAATTGGCCATCTCTGAGCTGCCCCAGCAGGGACAGCAAGAATCTATGGAGAGAAAAGTGGGTCGAGTCCGGAACCTGTTCAGAATCACTTCTAAATCAGCACGATTACTTTGCGGCCGCCCTAAGGGTGCAAAAGCAAATCAATCTCCTCAAACTCTTGGCCGATGCAGGTGGTGACATTATACTATACATACATTCTATCTATAACATATATATATATATATATATATATATATATACTCTAAGCTAGCTGAAAACAATAAATAAATATGTACGTATCGATATGTGTATTATGATATAGGAATAAAGGCGAATGGAACGTACTACCCGGGAGAGGCAATCAATAAGGCGATAAGGAAAGCGGGACTAGGGGATGCGGCAGTGACGTGCAGGGAAGACGAGAAAGGGCTTACCACAGTTCTGGACAAGATCATGTTGTGTGCTGATACAAAGGGAAACAAGCACCGTTGCCCTGGCTCTGCTTTCTGGATATGCGATAGTAGAAACGGAAATGCCGTCCTCTTCCCCTCCCTCTAGCCAGAACAGCTTCGCCTACGTACCCACGCTGCATTCGTGCATATTTATTTCCCCCATCCCATCCCCGTTTAAGTACGTTCAACAATAATCAATAACGGCCCGGTTAGATCGATTGTCTCTCCGGTGCGTGGAGTGTCGTCGAACAATAAAATAATAATTAATTAAAACTTATTTTCTTGGTTTTTCTCGTGTGAATGTGTATGCTGGCTTCCTTAGCTTGGCCATATGGCATGCAAACTAAAAACCAACTATGAATGCATTCCTTTTTTTGTTTTTGTTTTGGGAGAGGATATTTTACTATATATTCCAATGAAAAAAATTTGTCCGTGGATACTACTCTTACTAGTTATCTCTTCAATTACCATATAATTAATTTGTTTGATTTTATCTTATTTTAAGAGTATGAAAATAAAATAAACAAAGAAATGAAAGATAGAACCGCTGAGAGAATGAATAATTATTGGATTGTGGACACCCAAATCATGAAATAGTTGGATAGTGACAAGTCGGAGGGGGGTTTATTCGGCTTCCATCAATGAACCCATGGGCACAGATCTACATGTATGATTATGGGGACACCCATATCATGAAGTAGTTGGATAGTAACTTTTTTAATTCTATAATATACCGTGAAATCATTTATTTAGAAAATTGAAAGAACGTTCCTGGTAAAAAAATTAGTTTTCCTCCACTGACAAAAGAAAATCTTAGTTTAAAAGTAAAAAATAATCACTTAAAAAGATATACCGGTAAAATATTTTAAATATCATAATTATATTATGTTATGATATATTTTATTGAAGAATGAATATTTTCTATTGAATAATAATGAGAGATTACAAGTGTATATATACAAGAGTTTCCTAATGACAATAGGAAACAATAATTAATACACCTTATACAAATATGGTAGCTACCAATATACACCAATATTAAATATAGTAAGAATATATATTTAACATGCTCCCAACGGCGCCAACGAAGAGTGCCGCACGCCTAGACAGTCTCGAAACTCAGAGAAAACCATGGAGGGTAAGCCCTTGGTGAAGATATCTGCATACTGTAAGGAAGAGGGCACATGAAGAACCCGTATCTGACCAAGGGCTACTCTGTCACGCACAAAGTGAATGTCCACCTCAATATGCTTTGTGCGCTGATGCTTGACAGGATTGGCAGAAAGGTAGACGGCACTGATGTTATCACAGAAGACTAGAGTAGAGCGTGTCAGAGGTTGCCGAAGTTCAAGGAGAAGATTACGTACCCAGCTGACTTCAGCGACAGCATTAGCGGCAGCTCGATATTCTGCTTCAGCACTAGATCGAGAGGTGGTGAGCTGCCGCTTAGAGGACCAGGAGATGAGGTTGTCGCCTAGAAAGATGCAGTAACCAGATGTCGATCGGCGAGTGTCTGGGCAACCAGCCCAGTCGGCGTCGGAGTATGCCCGCATATGATCCGTCGAGGAAGGTGATATGGTGATTCCATGAGTAGGTGTACCATGTAGATAGCGTAGAACGCGCTTCATGGCCGTGACATGTGGCACACGCGGGTCATGAAGGAATAGACATAGCTGCTGCACGGCATAGGTGACATCCGGGCGAGTGAAGGTGAGGTACTGCAGTGCTCCCACAATAGAGCGATATAAAGAGGGATCCGGCGCTGAAGGGCTGACCGTGGCCGAAAGCTTCTCGCGGGTGTCAACGGGTGTAGAAACAGGTTTGCACGAGGTCATGCCGGCCCGTTCAAGAATGTCATAGATGAACTGAGTCTGAGTGAGGAACAGGCCGTGAGAAGTCCGCTGAACATTGATCCCAAGGAAAAAGTGAAGATCCCCCATGTCTGTCATAGCAAATTCCCCTTTTAGCCGTGCTGAGAGCTGATGAAGTAGGGCAGTAGAGGAGGCTGTGAGGACAATATCATCAACATAAAGCAGAAGTAGAGCCATGTCCTGGCCGCGACTGTAGACAAACAAGGAGGTGTCGCTCTTACACCCACTGAATCCAAGAGAAAGGACAAATCCCGTGAATCGTTGGTACCAAGATCGTGGTGCTTGTTTGAGTCCATAGAGCGCCTTGTTTAATTTGCAGACATAGTGTGGGCGAGCAGGGTCCTGAAATCCCGAAGGCTGAGCGGTGTAAACAGTATCTGAGAGGTAGCCCTACAGAAAAGCATTTTTGACGTCAAACTGGTGGATCGGCCATCCTCTGGATACAGCAAGGCTCAAAACGATGCGTATAGTGGCCGGTTTGACAACCGGGCTAAAGGTCTCGTCATAGTCGATGCCATGGCGTTGATTGAAACCACGAACAACCCATCGAGCTTTGTACCTGGACAGTTCCCCTGTTGGGCCAAGTTTGTGGCGGAAGAGCCATTTACCGGAGATTACATTTTGGTTGGGGGAGGGGGGTACTAAATCCCATGTATGATTAGCTATCAAGGCATTATATTCATCTAGCATATCATTGTACCAGTTAGGATCTTTGAGAGCACTACGGTAAGTGGGGGGTATGGGGGAGATGGATGCAACAGTGTTTAGGTTTAAGATTTGTTTGGGG